TGATTGTTGTTTAGTTGACATTTTAAATTCAAAGAAGCAAAGAGAATTCTCGTTGAGTAAAAAATATTTTTATTGAAATTAGTATCAATATTCTACGTAAATTTAAAGTTGGTCATTATATCATAAAATTCTTTCTGCATACCTGGTCATCACAAATATATATATATGGGATTTGGGCTAATGATGGGCGACGAAATTATTTTTGCGATGACGAAATAATTTCGTCAATGGTTTCGTCTGACGAATGACGATTGACGAAATTATTTATGGGGGCTGATGCTGAAAATTTTTCATAGTTAGCACTACTTAATTTTGTTGGTTTGTTTTTTCCTTATATGGCTTGTAGTACATCGATATTTTTGGTTGTTCTTGTGTTTGTCTATTTGATTTTGTATGTGGGATCGTCAAAACAACTTCCTCGTAATTATGCAAAAGGAAGGATCTACCCCCTCCTTTTTTGTATGTATCTTGGTACTGCATGTAGATACTACATGTAGATACTACATGTAGATACTGCATGTAGATTCTAGATACAGGGTGTTGATCGCTGGGAGATACGATAATTTGCGGCCGCGTTTATCATTTTTTGAAAAATAAAATGGTTGTGTTAGTTGGTGAATGTGTTTTCTCGATTTTTTACGTCTTTTTGTTTTTTTTTCATTTTTTTTTTGCCGGGTAGATTAAATGATAATCAGTGATCATCAAAGGTCAAAATGTAAAAATCGTAGCGAAAGAATTTAATTATTAGTAACGTGATGTGGGGCATGACCGATGATGAAGTTTATTTCGTATCAACAAATAACAACGAAAACAAAAGATCGTTTATGTTACACATCATGGCTAGTGTTGAACTTATCGAATGCGTGGCAACCTTGAGTGAGTTTTTGTTTTGTGTGGAGATAGAAAAAAAAAGGCATGATCTGATTTGTTAAATTTATTGAATTTAATTATATTTTACGTTGAATGAATTATTTATGTTGGGGAAAAAAAAATAATAAAACTAAGTATTGGTTTTGTTATGGCTTGGATTTAAGGTGAACACTAAGCCTATTTTTGTGTTTGTATGTTTTTTTTTTTTTTTATGGAAGGAACTAAAAAAAAAAAATCCATACTACAAGTTAGGTTAGGATCATGAGGCCTAAAATTTACCCTCAACTCTGAGCTAAACTTGTGGTTTTGAGTTTTGGTTCCCGTTGTTACGATCGTTCTTAGAAATTTTCGCCACTTGACTTGACGATCGTCAAATCATTAACTATCGTGGCAATAACTTAAACTCGCCATTCCTGTGGCTTCTATACCAAAACGATCTTCTCTTTTAAAGATCGTATTACCGAACATTTCTTTTCTTTCCTGTTTCATTATTATTATTTTACCATTCTATTTTTGTTATAGTTATATTCCGATTATTGTTATTCCATAAATAGTTAGTTATCTTATATATTTATTGTGATCGTATCACGACTAGAATCGTTGTACACCGAGAAAATACTTACCAGTTTCAGCGTCGTGATTGATAGATCCATGCTTTTCCTTTTTTAGTATACGATGGACAATTATCGTTAATTCCAAATTTAGTAATTTTAGTTAGAGGAGAAATATCGCGAGATTGATGGAAGTAGAAATCTTTGATTGTGTTATTGATCATTGAAGGTTGTGTAAGGAATGGATATTTTTATCAATGACTTGGTATTGTTCGCATATTGTTGTCATTGAGTTAGTTATCGTAGGTAGTAAAAAGGAAAGTTATCCCGTATGACAGTTTGATGCTGCGGGAATCTCTACATGTATTTAAACCCGTCGTTTTTGCCCTAATAAAGTTTTTCTCAGACTTCGATCTCTTATATACTTGACTTGGTATAATAAAACAATCATCGAATTCTCACCCTTGATTACTTTATCGTGAATTTACCTTCACGGCTTTATTGAAATTCTTATTTTATTATTATTTACATGTGCCCCGTGATTGACCCCATTGTTAAAATTACTTATAAATAACCCGCATCATTATTAATTCCGGTTTAATCAATTAAACTATCGTACTTACTAGATATAACTTTATTATATTACTCCTTTTAGTATTATACATCGTACATACATCCCGATACTCCTATCGTTAAGACAGCTTAGCGATCCCACGTATCTATTTACCCTATCTTATAAATATTATAACAATAACTAACCACCTATTGTTGTCCCTATCTTACATCAATTCACCCGTCGTTTGCTATCGCTGATCTAATATTGGCACCCACTTACTGACGCTCTCCCGATTCGATAGTAACATTTGGTGCCGATTGTGTGGAGTTCACGCCTTTAGTTTTCAGCTTCATATGAATAATTTTGAACAGCACCTTAGAAATAATAGAGAACACGACCGTCACCACTATTTGTTCGGAAAAACACCCCAAGCTATCGATTACTTAACTCGCTATTATCGTGACGATTCTTGTTCTGTCTGTTACCCTCCGCCTGATCTCTCTCACCAGTTTTACAACTTCTGGGCTTGGTTCAGTACTTTTCAACCGGCTATTTCATTTTCTCGACGTTCCGTTCGACGATTTGAGAAGTTTAACGTCTTTGATATAGGAAACCTTCCCGATAGACTACTTAGCTCTTTCATCTTCAGCTTTCGTTATAGTGAACAACCCGACGACTTCCCTACCTTCTTAAACGAATTTTTAACCGCCTACCAAGAAACCAACAGGTTTAATACTGACCCTTTTTACGAAACCTACGACGCCAGCGAAACCCTTGAAGGAGATCTAATGGCTCAAAATAACAACCGATTCGACGCTCCTCTCTTAATTGATCCTGACGGCAATGGCAATGAACACCAAGACGACCAATGCGGGGACCAGGCCAATCTTAATCCTCAGATTGACCCCATGGCCCTTTTGGCCCATCAAATCGGTAATCTCGTCCTTCAAATGCAAAACAACCCTGCGCCTCAAATCAACATTCCCGCAATTAACCTCCCCGCTCAACACCGCGAACTCAATTTGGTTTCGTACCCTGACTTCTCTGGTGGCGAACAAGACCCTATTACGTGGCTAGAGGATGTCGAGAAGGCTTTCGAAGCAAACCAGGTCCAAGACAATCGTAAGATCCCTGTGGTAATCCCACATTTGAAGGGCACGGCGGCTACCTGGTGGGTAGCGGCCAAAACCATTCGACCCCCTATCGATCGATGGAATGATCCCCACCATGCAGGGCAAAGCTTTCGCCCCCACTTCATAGCTCAATTCAGAACCCCCGCCCTTGAGAGCAAATGGTTTGCTCAACTAACTCAAAGAAAACAAGGCCCCACCGAGGATGTCGATTCTTACCACATGGCTATTGAAGAACTCATCCGACGAGTAGAGGCAGGGGGACATCGTTACCCAGGCACGGCAAAGGCCCAAATGTTTATTAATGGTCTTAGACCGGAACTTTCTACTGCCGTTGCTCCTTTTATGCCTAACACCCTAAGTGCCGCCTACGAACGTGCTAAAGCCTTTGAAAATTCCTTCAAACAAAATCCGCTATACTATAACCCTTACTTGACGACTTCTCTACATCCGTCTCCCTATCTGGTTTCTCACCCTGCCGTTTCAACTTCGCCGTCCCCTAATTCAATCTCGGTTAATCCTTCAGTACCTACTCCTTCAACCATCTCCTCGCCAATATCTCATTCTACCAAAACCGAAGACGTTCTGGTAAAGTAGACAGAGGCCATCACCACCATGATAACGAAGCTCCAGGACACTAAGGAGCCCCCTCGTCGTAATTTCAACAGTTGGAATAATACTCCTCGATATCCGTGTGGTCGCTGTGGACAAGTGGGTCACAATGCCAGAACTTGTCCTAATCCCTTGCCCAGTAATAATGACGGTAACGTGGCTACTGGAAGTAATGCCATTCCCCTTGGAAGACCTAATGCCGCCCGAACCAATCCCCCAGTTAACAATAATTCCGATACCCCTAACCGAGTGGGAGGATCCGAAGCCCAAACATTTCTGAACCTTCACGTTGACGAGGATGATCTCCTGTTTCTCCCGGCTGAGGAATCTGCGAGAACGGTTCGTTCCACTCGTGCCAAAAGACAACGTGTTGAAGATTCGACCCTTGGAGAACTTCTCGAAGAGGAACGGGCTGGAGACCAAGAAGAGATTTCGGAAGTTGAGCGGGAAGCCAAAAGAAAAGTCGCCACAGCGTCTAAGCACAAGAAGGAGGTGAAAGCAGCCCCTGTTAAAAAGAAAAAGGCTGAAGAGAATCCACCCCAAATTTCCGCTCTAATCCCCCGGTACTCCATTATTTCCGATATTCGTGATAAACCTGCCAATATCATGTTTGGTCAACTCTTGCAGGTGGTTTCTTCTTATCAGGTTGACTTAGCTAAAAGCCTCCGGAAGACCAACGCCCCTAAGAGAAGAACCCGTGTTATGGTTAATCTGCAGCCCTCTCCTAGGTCAACCGCCCTATATTGTGACGCCCGTATCCATGATAAGATTATTCCCCTCATAGTCGACAGTGGTTCCTCCGAAAGTGTTGTGTCGTCCTATTTGCTTGGCGAATTGGGCATTAAGGTAGAGAGGCCTTCCACCGTCAACATGGTCAACGTTCACGGTCGTAGTAAAAGAGCCCTGGGAGAAATCTCCGACTTCCCCTTTTCCGTCAGAGGAGTTATTGTCCCTGTCGACGTGGTCGTTACAGACGCTGCGTCTTATCAAGCTATCGTCGGTAATGACTGGTTATCTAACGTGAACGCTAACATAAATTACACCAGCTCCGAGATGACATTCCATTGGAATGATCGGGAAGTCGTAGTCCCCGTCGAATTCCGGAGGCTTCAACATACCCCGATTCAAGATGACCGTCCCCCTAAAATTAAAGTCCAAAAAGCCGACGATGATGAAACTGAGGAATCGGGAACAGAGGAAGAGTCTGAGAGTGAGTTTGAAGAAGAGGAAGGATTAGAGGATCGCCTTTTTGGATTTTCTGAAGACGAAAGAACACTTTTTCAATATCATCGTAATGACGATAAAATTGCTGATGACTCCGATGATGAGACCGTGAGGCCGCAGTATAATGTTAAACCAGAAGGACGAGGAGAGGGTGAGGCATAGTGGAACATGGATAGTGACGATGACTATGAACTAGGAGACGATGAAAGTCCCCTTGATTTCGACGGCGATGATCCTGAACCCGATCATGAGTATTACTTCGACGAAGTTGAGGAGTCTTCCCAGGACTTAGAGTTAGATATAGGGGATCTTTGGGACGACGATCATGACAGAATGGAAGAATTGCTTTTTAACAATAATGACCTTTTTGCTTGGGAGCCCCACAATTTAGGACGTACCAGTCTTGTTACCCATACCATTAATACCGGCGATGCCCCACCCATACGACAACGATACTACCGTACCTCCTCCAAGGAATGACAATTTTTGGAGGAAGAAATCAACCGTATGCTTGAAAACAAAATCATCCAGCCATCGCGTAGCCCTTGGACATCTCCTATAGTACTTGTTAAGCAGAAGGATAAGACTAGGTTCTGCATTGACTACCGGCGTTTAAACAGTGTTACTAAAAAAGACAGCTACCCTCTTCCATGAATCACGACTTGCTGGATACCCTTCGCCATTCATCTTTCTACACTTCACTCGATCTTGCTAGTGGATATTGGCAGATCGAGATGGACTCCGCTGACAAGGAAAAGACTGCCTTCACCTCTCAATTCGGCATCTTCGAATTCAATGTTATGCCATTCGGTCTCCCAATGCCCCTGCCACATTCCAATGGCTCATGGATTGAATTTTTCACGGTATTATTGGGGAATTCGTTGTCGTCTATTTAGACAACATCAATATCTTCTCGTCCACATTCGATGACCACCTCCAACACCTCACTGAAGTGTTTAATAGGCTTCAGAAAGCGGGATTGAAATTGAACCCCAAAAAGTGTCATTTCACCAAGGATGAACTTAAATTCCTTGGCTACGTTGTCAACGGAAAGGGAATTTCTACTGGTCCTCAGAAGGTGGAAATTGTCAAGAACTTCCCCATCCCTACTAATCTCCGTCAGCTCTACAGATTCATCAGCTTGGCTTCTTACTACTATCGATTAATCCAGGACTTTTCAAAAATCGCTGCCCTTTTAATGTCTTGTTAAAAAAAGACACCAAGTACATCTGGACCCCTGAACATCATGTCGCTTTGATACCCTCAAAACCAAACTTATCACTGCCCCATCTTAGCTTATTCTGATTTCTTAAGGGATTTTCTACTTTTCACCGATGCCTCTGGAACAGCGTTGGGTGCAATTTTATCTCAAGAGAACTCACAGGGGAGAGAACGGGTTATTCATTATGCAAGTAGAACTATGACCAAGTCGGAAAGAAATTATTCAGTGACCGAACAGAAATGTTTAGCCATTATCTGGTCCGTTTCATACTTCCGGCAATATCTTCATGGATCCTATTTCACTTTGATTACGGATCATTCGGCCCTTACATATTTATTACGTCATCGCCTACCAAGAGGACGTCTTGCTCACTGGATCTTAGCTCTTCAGGAATACGAGTTTGCGATAATTCATCGTTCGGGAAAGCAACATCTGAACGCCGACAGTCTTTCTCGGCTTGTACAATCCTCTAAAGTTCGAGACAAAAAGAAGAGTCACCTTTGTTATCGATGTCGTCGCCAAGGGCATTATACCAATGAATGTTTTTCTGCTTATGTAATAAAGACCGATCGAAATTTTCCCACCAACGTCAACGGACTTCTTAAATTCTGACTAGTTACCTTCTCCCACTTCATCTTTTTAATTCTAACTGATTTACTATTGGCATTTTTTTCAAAACTTTTTAAACTCACTTTTAAGATTTTCACAAGCATGGACCCTATACAATACC